TATACAGCTATGAGGCCCTAGGCACACTCACATACCAGGAAGTGCTCTGCTATTTTTCAGGAGGAATTCAAAAGAAAAGGTGCTGCCTAGATACATATTCACTAAATGTTCCCTATAAAATAGCAAATCTTTGTTTTCTGAGTTTTAGGAATATGAAAAGGCTAGGGGAAAAATTATACAGCAGAAGCCAAGATAGTTGTAAAAGGCACAGTAATTTTGCCTGATAAGGACGGTATGGATGCCAATTGTATACTCACGCACAAATTTGAGTAATTTGGCTTAGACAAATTCTGATGCCATAGGTTGTAGATGTTTTGAGAAGACACCAGGTCACTGACTGGCTACAGTTTATAGCCTGTAAATGCTAACATAATATCTACATACTTTTAGGGCAATATGTATGAAAAGGAACCCATCAAAAGAAATATTTGGGAGCTGTCATTGCCAACTTGTTTTTAAGGTTCTTGGGCTGTGTGCCTTATTCCTGAGTCACTGACCCAGCACTTGCAGATCTGCTAAACGCATATTCCATAGCACTGTCTAACAAGGAGAAAATATTGTAATGTTATACTTAAGTGTACAGGCATTTATAGAGTGCTGGCAATTTTACATCGATTTTACATCCACTAGACATACCAATTTTAGACAGAAGCCAAGTAACCTACCTGCATCTGAAGTGTTGAAGGAAACTGGAGAGCCCAGAGGAAACCCATACAAGCACAGAAGAAATGCAAACTCCATGCACATAGTGTCCTGGCTGGGATTCAAAGCAGGCACTAAATACCCACTGCCAGGCAGAAGGGCTAGTCCAGGGGCCGTCAACCGGTGGTCCGCGAAAAAATTTTGGTGGTCCCCGGGCCCCTTTGATGTCGTGCAGGCTGGGCCACCATTTGAAGCGGCACGGAGGCTCCGGGGCTGCCTCTCACTGACTCAAGCAGCGGCTGTCACAAGGAATGCACGGCTCTCAGTTTAGTGTGGGCTCTGCAGGAGGCGGGGCGTCTCATCAGTACCTGGACTGAGAAGGCTGTGGGACATAGAAAAAGTGGGGAGAAGTTTTTTAAATTCATATTAGTGGTCCGCAGGATTTAAAATTATGAATTTAGTGGTCCATGAGGTCCGAAAGGTTGGCGAGCGCTGGGCTAGTCATTAAGCCACTATGCTTATTTTTTGAACCATTTCATAAGTGTGACAGTTTTATGTTATAAACAGACTCTGTTAGAGGGCTCCAACATGAAGGGCCCTATCTTTAAAGACTAGACTAGACTAGTCTTTAAAGATAGACTAGTATCTTTAAAGACTATGTCATTTCAAAGATAAATCATAAAAAAGCAAAACAAAAAGTCAAATTTAAAAACAAAAAAAGATGAAAAAATTATCTTCATAGAGAATGGATCTTATCCTAATTAGGGTGGAATACTTTATAATGAAAACATTGCATCCAAACAGCATTATGTCCTTGTAACTTGTGCTGGATGAAAGCAGACCACAAGTCTTGAAGAAGATAATTTACTAAACCACGCTTTTCAGTTAAAAGGTCTCAGTACTTGAGCAATTTATGTATTTTTGTCTATGGTAATACATTATAAATTCAATGCATATAACAAGAGCTACCTCTCAACAATTGATTTAGTACAGTAATGTAGTCTTGGTGTTTTGGTTATCTGTTTTCCATTATTTACAGCAATAAATTAAAATATATGCGAGTTGGCATCAGGAAGAGAGGATTAACAACTGACCCTTTTCCATTTGTACATCATAAATCTATTTTGTAAGGTAATTGCACAGCACCTATCTAAATGTTATATACGTTATAACAGAAGGTAAGAATATACTGCATTTACAGTTTGACAAAATGATAACGAAATCTTACCACAATGGGGTTGATTCACTAAAGGCAAATAGGCAATTTACTTTGCAAAGGAATTTTCCCTTAGCTTAATGAATGAGGTGGAGCTCTGCTGACTTCCATCATCCAATCATGTGTAAGCAATAATAAATAAAAAATGTCTTTAATTTTCCTTGCATGTAATTGGGTATTTCTGCAAAGTGGATTTTTACCATATTTACTAAGCCAAGGGAAAATTCCCTTGCAAAGAGAACAACCTATCTGGTAAATCAACCCCAATATCACAGTCAAAGTGCATACTATTCATGATGTAACAAAAGTCAACAGCTTCCATGGGGTGAACAAAAAGCACTGGGTTCTCAGCACTGAAAACCAACCTACCATTATATGAATGGATATAGAATCCCAATAATCTCACTAGCTCTTTTAAAGGGAACAATTGTTACTTTAAGGGTCTGTTTACATTTTTGCGGTGCATTTAATACAGATGCATTAAATTGTGTGTTAATATGGATTGTGTTAAAGCATTCATTTTGCTTTTTTTTTTAGTTCAAAAGAAAACTGGCATGACATATAGACTTTAACAGCTGTTTGACAGTCTGTATTTATTAAAACTTAATTTGTCGTTATCATTTTATTACTGGCTGCTACTGTTTGGTTATCTCTGCTAATAAGAAGGTGAATTGGCTATTGTCAAAATGGCCCTCAAAGGATCACATCTTCCATCCTTATTGTATCAGACCGGATAACTCTTAGTGCTGAAATCTATAGTAAATCAAACTAGGCCTTTAAAACTGTTTTCTGTAGATAATCTATATGTATAGGAGCACCTTTAGTTGAAAAACAAATAAATGTTATTTATCGGAACACTTTAAATCAGGGATGTCAATGTGACCGCTTTTTAACTTATGATCTTTATTCAAAAAATTGCATCTTATTTTTAACCTTAGGAGCCCTTTCTCTTCCAGATATACATTTTTTTTTCTTGCATCTCTACACCGACATTGTCAGGATTCTAGGACTGGCCCATTTACAAAGGTATTGCTATGGAGATTATCGTTGTTTTCTACCAGGTCTAAAACCGCTTTTGACCTAAAGGGATGCTTTTTGAATGCCATGGACGTTCTCAAGTTTCCAGGCAGTAAGAACAGTAAAAGTGCAGGCAGGGCACTGGACAAAGCTCTAGGGACAAAATTGAAGTGAAATAGTTTGATACATAAATGTAATTATAGCAGATTACATTGCATTCTGTGTAAATGTCATGTTTGCACTTTTGAATTTCCCGCCGGCTCCGCCCCCCGCTGTGACGCCCGCAAACAAAACTGAAAGCCTTTTGGTACTGAAAATTAACCACGAGCCACACTCGGGAATACCACCAGGGAGGTTAAAGGAAAGGGTGCTGGCTAGAGAAATTAGCTCCTGCTGGGAAATAAGAACAGATGGTGTTCAGGAGTCAGGAGGACTCCCCCAGAAGTCAAAGTGGAGTCAGGTGGTGTGTGTGCTGGAAGCACATGAAGACAGCCAGGGAGGCTGGGAAAACTGGCGAGGCTGGTAGAGCTGAGAGCCTGAGGGCCCACCAGTACAAGTGCAGGACAACACTACAGAGAGGACCAGAATTATTAATGTTAAAAGTGGAAGCCAGGGGGCTAAACTTGTGTTGTTTTGCAAGCAGTGCATGGATGCTGTACCGAACAACCCCTGTGAGGGTATCCAAGGTGGATGTGTGAACTTTCGTTTAAATACAAGTGGATACCAGGCCCTTAAAAAGAAGATATTGGGTGTGGACTGTGTCCTTAAAACGCTCACCATATGTGCTAATATCCCCATACATCACACACCACAAAATAATTCTAACGGAATTATACCCAAGTAATATGCATAGTGCAGATATTTATAGGAACCAGTCGCAAACCATTTTTCATTACTCAAACTGCTGTTAACCTGCTGAAACCTGAAATCTAATTGGTCACTATATATCACTGCATATCAGTGTCCTAAATAAATTACTGTTAGTGGTCATTGGAAATAGTGCAGCAGTTATTTATATTGACTGTATAACACAAAAAGTATTTCTTGTCTTTAACTACTTATTCAGTCTTTAATATAATTACAACGTTTTACATTCTTTTTCTAGTTGCAGAAATACCATAACCTCTTAAGATTGCATATTCATTTTTAAAATCTCCTATTACTACCAAGTGAATGCCTAATGAGTTCATCATAATTATTAAGGCTAGAATGTGCATCAAAGGAAAAATTTTACTCCATTTATTAAACATATTAGTATACCCAGAGCAAGTGTACATCATAATGGGTTCAGTGGTAACTCTTCTAAAACAACACAAGCTGAACTTGCCTGTGCAGGCACCTATTAATATTTATAATACAGCAATAAAAAGGCCTTTAGGCAATGCCTGTATACAGGCATGGACACATTTGTTTGTACCCGTACAGCTCATTGATACAGTGCTTCATTCCTCCTGAAAAGTGATGAAATTTAAAGCAATTATTTAATATATACCTGCATTAATTGGGAATGTCAGAGACTACAGCAAAGAAAGTGTGAAAAGAGATAAATTATTGCCTATTCTGCAAAAGATATTCTAAAATTACCTGGACTGATTTGTTGGTACCCCTAGAGTTTTGTTTTTTTAAATAATTGGAATTCTCCATTCTCAAGAAGAATGGACCAAACTACCTGCTGGCAGGTTCACAAGTCTCAATGAGAGCTACAGATTCTCTTGCTTGCAGTGATTGCCTCTTAAGGCTGTGCAACAAAATATTATGTTAAGGGTATTATAATTTTTGTCCAATGCCATTTTCATTTGTTTTAGGTAAAATATTGTGTTGAAACAATCTGTTAATCTGTTATTAAATATGGGGAAAAAAACTATGCTGGATGCCAATTACTTGGCCAATTTCAAGTTCTTTTAGATATAGCAGATTTTTTATTTTTTGTGGATGGGTACCAACAATTTGCCTATATCTGTATAATCAGGTTAGTGGTGAAAATGTATTTAGTGTACCACACACACACAGTCCACAATTTTAATTAAGACAACCTGTGGTAATGTTTTAAGCATTTATTCTTGAAATATTTGTCACAATTGTCTTGAATCTGTCTTCACAATTCAATTCAGGAATTCTGACAAGTGAAATATTTTAAGTTAAAGCAGGAAGTGCAGCCATCTTGCAGCTTAGAGCCCATAGCTTCTTCTGAACGTCTGTATTATAGGTTATATCAGCAGATTTGATCCTTTCTCCATTATATAAATAACAACCCCCAATTCCTTCTAGGTCTGGTGAAATGGCTGCATAAATGGATGTGGATGCCCCTTCTTCAGGTGTCTGTCAAAAAGAAAGAAAATATGAAACAGTTTAACAGCAGCTGTTAAAAGTAGTAGTTTTATATTCCTCAAACAATAGCTCTATACTCTCTAAATTGGCAACCTGTAACTTTAGTAAAAAAAATATTGGTGATACAGCTTTATATTTTTCAAACAGTTTCAAGTTACAAAATGGTAAAAGCTGAACTCCAGACAAACTACAGGTGAAACTTGAAAAATTAGAATATCGTGCAAAAGTTCATTTATTTCACTAATGCAACTTAAAAGGTGAAACTAATATACGAGATAGACTCATTACATGCAAAGCAAGATAATTCAAGCCGTGATTTGTCATAATTGTGGTGATTATGGCTTACAGCTCATGAAAACCCCAAATCCACAATCTCAGAAAATTTTTGGCAGTGTGGGCAGGTGCCAAGTCCTGCTGGAAAATGAAGTCAGCATCCCCATAGAGCTCGTCTGCGGAAGAAAGCATGAAGTGCTCCAAAATCTCCTGGTAGACGGCTAAGTTGCATTAGTGAAATAAATGAACTTTTGCACGATATTCTAATTTTTCGAGTTTCACCTGTATATAAACAAATACAATTGAAATATGAAAGCTATTTTACAGGCAAAATGGTTTGTATTTCTTTCAACACACTTCCGAGATTAAGGGCCCATTTACACCAGGAGCCAGTACTAGCGTGCAGCTGGTGATATGTGATGTGAAGCAGTGGAATGTGCTGATTAGAGTCATCACACTCTTTTTTTTCTTTTTTTTAAACTTTATTGAAGTTTTTAACGTTTTCATGATGAAGTTTTGTGAATTGACTTAGGAAATTGCCTTGTATATGCAATGGGACCACGCTGTGCAAGGTTGTCCAGTTCAGCTCAACACACCTGATGTAAGAAGTATTGTACACAACCCTGACAGACCTCAAAGCTTGGAGACCTGTCTTTTTGCTACTGAAGTTAAGCAATAAATCTAAAACATCCTAGCCCCAAGCCTGTGACTGGACATTGATGAGGTCATCTATTTGCTCTCCCCCATCAGCATGTTCCTTGTCAGCACATGTAATTAGCTCACAGCATTGCCACTCCCTCTTCAACAACAACAACAACACTAAATACAAAGGTTTATGTTTTGGCCAGCAAATAGTGGTGTAGTAGTTAGTGCTTCTGCCTTGCAGCACTGAGGGTCCCTGGATCCCGGCCATGTCATTATCTGCGAGGAGTTTGCATGTTCTCCCTGTGCTTGTGTGTGTTTCCTCCGAGTACTCTGGTTTCCTCCCACACTCCAAAGACTTGCTGGCAGATTAATTGGCTCCTGTCTAAACTGGCCCTCATATGTATGCATGTAAGCTCCTTGAGGGCAGGGATGATGTGAATGTGCAACTATGTAAAGCGCTATGTAAATTGTCAGTGCTATATAAATATCTATAATAAATAATACATGTTTGTCAAGGTTTACATTTTCCAAGTCACTACCAGATCTTCTACTGCTACAGATACACGAAAATAGTGAAGAGATATAACCTTTCATCCAGCTTCTGTACTGCAGGGGCTGACATCTTCATCCTTTTGATGAGATTCCTGGGAAAAATGTTTAGCCCAAGTATCAGAAGAAGACACTCCAGCACAGTACAAACTTTTTTCCCTATTTTTTGAAATGGGGAGACCTGAATAAACAAGTAGACCTTGCATTTTAAGCATGATCGTAGGAAGGCAATTGAAAGGTAAATCATGATGCACAAATGCAGTAACCGATAGAAATGACAGTTAAAGGACAACTATGAGGTGAGGGAAAATCACTCATCCTCATAGTTCGAGCCGACGTGTGGCAATTAAACAAATAGATTGGGAAGAGAGCGAACGCATATCGTTGCTCGCTCGCTCACTTCTCGATCATCTCCCTGCAGAGAAGGGTGACTGTCACTCACCACTCCCTGCAGGGATTCCCCCCTCCCCGCTCCTCCAGCACTGACTGGGGGAACGGACGGGAGAAAGGGTGGGTACAGCTGGCTCTGCCTCTAGATAGGCAGAGCCCGCTGTCATTCACACAGCTGGATGGATCTCAACAGCATTGTCAGGATCCGTCCCGGCTGCGGCGGTCTCAGTATACTGAGCTCGCGATTTACTGAGCTTTGGGTCACGGGAGGACGCTAGTATATGTCCTCCCGTGACCCTTAAGAGAACTATGGGGAAAAACACGTACCCCATAGTTCTCTTTTACGCTTACGGAGGTCTGACAATTAAAATATGAATTCTGGTCGCTTGTTTTGGTTTTGCTTCATTCTACATGATAATGTACCTTATTAAAAATATCTGACTGCCTTGCTACCATAGGGCCACCCAAAAGCCTACTTTTGTTTTTCATTCTTTCTCTGAACACCACACCACGTAGACTGTATTCAAAAGCACACTACTGTGCATACAGATAAGAAAAACACATGAAACATCTATTTTTGGCTTTTTAAAATCCCTTGATAGGTATTTCCCACTGATTCTGTTTACTTTCTTGTACATTTTGCATGACTAAACCTTGGTAACAGATGATGAGAAGCTAATTAAGGCATTTTAAGAGCTCTTTAGTTATTCAGCAGTTGTTATTAATATTTAATACTCTGTAATATCATTTTTACAGTTATGTGTTGTTGTTGTTGATGTTGTTTTTGTTACTTTACTAAAATCATAGAGAAGAAGTATTTTGCCACCATTTTGTGGTTGTATTTTACTTTATTATGTGATTAGGTAATTCAAGAGGGACAAAAAGTTGAGACACAGTGGGAATGACACAATCATCTACTGTATATTTAATTAAGAGTTCAATCTGTTTTCAGCATGTTGGGCATCATGTTTTACTGTACACAGTTTTCTTCAGCAAATCCATTGTAAAGTCTCTTACCTGAAGATCCTGCCAGTAACAATGTGGAATTCAGTCAAGACTACTTGTCTTGCAGTGGAATAACAAGAAAGATCAGTGACACATGTGGCACAGTCTCCTTTTTAGGAGAGTGACAAGTACATGTTTTGTAACGGGTATTTATACAGTGTAGCAAACCGATAATTGGTCAACAGTATTTACAGACATTGGCAAAGTTTGATAGCATAACTAATCTGAACAGAAGATAGAACAGTACAGGATAACCTTTGATATATGATATCAGAAGGTCATGGCCATAACTAGGGGTAGTCAGGCCTATTTAGAGTTTATGTATGCTTTATTCGATATTAAGGTTCACTTATTTGTCATTTCCACAAACACCGAATACTCATTCACACAGCAATCATGCCTTTCCTACATTTGTCAACTATGGATTACAATTCCTAGTCCCACAATTGAGTCTGGTTTTGGCAACCCTCTTACATGAAAGGACACACCTTCCTACCCACACACAGCCCTGCTGAAGCAGTCAGAGCAAATGACAGAAAGGAAATTCATACATAGAATCATTGAGAATGCATTTTACGAAGGAGTGTACTTGGATACATAACATACAAATACTTTAATAATTATATATGGTTTCAGTTTCTTTTGTGGCTTTCATTAAAAGGGTTTCTTTAACTTGTATAATAAGAGACTGTTTCCCTAATATATACTATCAGAAAAATACAAATAAAAACATTTCTAAACCTATATAAATGTAATTGTCTAACAGGTCTCTCAATGAAAATATGCAGGATTAGGATAAGTCTAGTGGCCCATTTTCTCCAGAGATGTAAAATATTCTTTCTCTAAAAAGAATCCCTGGAGAGAGAATCTACCCACTCAGAGGTGTTTGAAAGAGAATCACAACCAATGGAAGTCTCCCTGGGGGACTGCAGGAATATAGCTACACACCCAACAGTTCAAGTTTAGATGATTTGCAGTAGTGTTACTTCACCAAAGCATTGTTGTTCAATGAAGCTTAAGCAATAGCTGGAAGGAGAAGCAAGGTAATAAAATCATGTATTCTTCTCCCGATAGAAGGCTGGCTTGAGACAGAACAAGCTAAAACATAAGCTGCCAGCTGGACTTAAGCCACACTGCTTTATGCAGCACATAAGCAGCAGCATACAACAAACAACTTTCTTTTTGGAATGCCCCATTAAGCTTAGGGACTAGCTTGTTTCACTGAACAGTGACTCCATCCTGGCTAATGACCCAGTCACATAAACCACATGGAGTGCTCTAATCACACACAATGTTGAGTGCCTTTTTTTCAGGACCTAGCAATGAAGAAAACACTTAGGAATGCAGGGCAGCTAGACTATAATGCAAATGCATTACATGTCCTGTCACAGCTCCAAAGGAAGTGAGCCATGAGAAAAACAAAGTTTGGTCTTTTTTGCTTGCCCAAAAGCAAATTAAAAGATGAAACATTTAAAGGTGTCCTTGGTGTGTGCCTGATGGACATAAGCACTAAGCACAGTGTATCTGTCCATTTCATTCCTGCAACTCATGGATATTAGAACATCAGTCTTTTAAAAATAGCAATATGCCTTAGGGGCCTTACGGCTAGAACCGGTCTAAAGGCTTGCACCCACTGCATGGTGCGAGGTGACGAGAGAGGTCTACCTTGCCTGTGCAGGGAAGAAAATCATTAAGTCATGAGCTGTTTACTGAGTCAGGGGAAACAGTTTTGATTATACCTTGGCATTTACAATTTTTCCTGTTATATTTGGGATAGGTGTCATATTGCTTGCCTGCTGTTTAAGTGATAAACTACTTTTTTATTTGGTTGTAAAATGTGAATAAACTCAATAAAAAATTTTTTTTTTAAAATAGCAATATGACTTTTAATTTCTCATTAGTTTGGAGAAAGATAAGTGGGGTAAAACTGCTTATACGCCCCCTACTCTCTCACAGTGGCTTAGCTGTTACCCCTTAAACTGGACTCAACCCACTGAATGAAAAACCACTTCCACATACACAAACACATACATAGTCAAAGAGATTATATGATGACTTATGACATATGAAGACTATGGGGTTGATTTACTAACCTTATAAACACGCCACAAACAAGTATACACCTCTGT